TTTTAAAATGGGACGCATCACAAATATCACAAAGTCTCAACCTCAGACGTTTGAGTTGCTAAATATTTTTTTTTTCGCCTTTGAGCTGTGAGGACAATGAATATCCTGTTATCTTGTGTACTGTGAAGAATAACCATATTCAAACCATGAGCTGCAGAGCACAACAGGACTCAGCAGATAAACTGCATTATGAGGCTGATGTTACAGTCAGTGCAAAAAACCGGTTTAACCATCGAAGCTGCTTTTTCTTTGCATTTTAAAGCGACTTTTGTGACAATATTATAAGTTGAAGATGGAAAAGTTTTAGTTAAAACTCAGACCAGGTTCATTTCAAGGGCTGAATGTGCTTGTTTCTTGATTCATGCATCATTTCTTTAAAGCAGTCAGACTTTCTTTTGGTGATTTAAAGCTGTCTTGACAAATTCATGCTACATTATTTTCAGCACCATATTGTAGAAAAACAGGGATTCGTTCAGTGTTGCATACTGTGGGTTTTATCTCCAGATGTTTTCTTGGGAAGGACAGAAGAGTTTCTTCAGATAAATGAATTTCAGGGGAAATGTTATAATAAAGATTAGAGATAGAAACTACAGATTTGGATCCCAACTCAATCAATATTTACGATACCAGCAACAGCTTTTTGTAAAGTACACCACACAAATGCCCATTTGGTCAAGCTGCTTGACCTTATTTAGGTTGTCCCAATCTGATTCAGAAAATGTTGCCACATGCAGAGACAAAGCAAAAGAGAGCATGTGATGAAGCCTAATCTGTTTGGCCACGTCGTCGCCTCAAGCAGGTTTGTGGTCTACTGTGAAAAACAGAAATACGTCTGAAACTCCAACAAAAAAAATATCACAGTATTAAAATCAAAATTAAAAACATTACACAAGAAGCTAGACCAAAACGACTTAATCTTTTGAATACCTTGATGCACATGCCTAAATCATGTCTCCTTAGTGTACAAACATTTATTTCCCTGCTTTATGTCTCAAACCATCCCTCTGAGCTTTAACAGTACAGCACACATGCATACGTGTGTAGAAACAAACCAGAAACTCTGAGCTACACAGTTACACATCTTTTTATTTTTTCTTTTCAGCAGTGCTGATGTTGGTGCACTCAGGTAATCACATATTTTTAAGCCCCTGTGGGTTGTTAAAATTAGAGTAAAAAAATAATAAAGGAGAAACAGCACCAGCAGGAATAATGAAAGCAGAGGGAAACTGGGTTTACAACGGTTTCTGCAGAACTTTTATCATGCATCGCTCTGGCGTATAAAAAAAGCCATTTTTATAAATACAGTTGAAACCAGAATCTTGCATACACCTAATAAAAAGGCACAGCCTTTTTTTCCCTTCACCGTCTAAAGTTAAATCAGAAAAATAAATGTAGATGTGATGCCATAAAAGTGAGACACTTGAAGTTATCTGGACATAAAATGAACATCCAAATATAATTCTAATTTCCAAGATTACAAAATCTCTTCTCTCTCATGTTAGTAGCTCAATTAGTCTGGTTGCTTATTAACATAGCCAGCCTGCAGCAGGCTGATTATTTTACCAACAGACAACAAGAGAAGGGAAAGTCCATCCATCATCTTCTGTATCTGTCTGAAATGCAACCTCAGATATTCCTAGAGCACCAACACACTGTAGTTTATTCTAGAGGACTCCAAGGCATTCCCAGGCCAGAGGGGATATAAAATCCCTGAAGCAGGTTTGGGCTTGGCGCAGGTTCTGGGAAAAAACCTCCAATATCAATCCAAGTGACCAAATATATGATTGGCATGTAGAATTAGCATATTTGAAACTTGGAATCTACCAAATAGCCCATGCAGGCATTTCTTTAATATTGTAATGATTAGTTCGATTTGATATATAGTTTTATTTACAAACGGTCCCTGAAAGATTAGGGTAGAAAAAATATAAATTGCACCATGCAGGTAAGCAATGCATATATGACTGGGTGAAGGGGCAAACTGAATTTAAACCAAATGCTTCTCTGCTGACCATAAACAGAAACCCCAACCCAGACAAACAGAAATCCACACAATGCGTTGCATTGCTTCCCATATAATTAGACATAAAAGCAAATTAGAAACAAACTGTCAGCAATGAATAGCAGCAAACAAATTGTCATTCTTTAGAAATGGGAAATAATGGATCAATTACAGAGGTTAACATTAGAACATGATAATACAGCAATCGCTGAAAGTAGTAACTAGAAACAGAAAGCCTGAAATGTCTGACTTCTACAACAAAACTAAAATTTAGGCTTTGCATCATTTCCTTTGACAGTCGATTTCACCTGCATTATTGATTTTACTGGATTAAATACAAACAAAAAACACAAGCCAAATAAAAAGGTAATGAAAAACTTGAAATTATGAAAATGAGATTAATTTTCTCATAAAATACAACCATTATTACAACAGGGTGACTTTATCCAAAAAAGCAGCAGATTGCACTTAATATCCGTCAGGTGAAGGGAATGAGATCAGTAATAAAACGTGCAGTGATTTACTCTCTGGCAGGGCGAAGTCAGTGTGAAGCAGAAATACAAAGTGATGTTGGGAGTGAAATTGGAGAGGGACCGAGCCGCAGCAGTTACACATCTTTTCATTCCCACGACTGAGGGAAGCGTGCAAATGAAAGACATGGATACGGACAGACGGCGAGAGAGAGTCCGGGGTACCAAGAGACAAACAGACCCCCCGATCAGCCAGGCGAATGTGTGAACAGGCGATCAACAGATGATTAGCAGATGTCACCTCGCTGACTCGGCCCTGCCATGACATGTTATCTGAATGAGGCAATTAAAAGGCCCGTCACAGCGGCCGCCGGGGGAGGACGACGTCCGTGGAATCGCTTGGACACATTTAAGCCTCAGCTTCACCGCGCAGGTCTTTGATTGCAACAATGTGCTGATTTCCTGAGTCTATCAGAGCAATGCATGTCACTGTCGGCACTTGGGAGAGGCAGCTGTCAGCTTCTTTGCAAGCAGGACTCGAGAAGTGACAATGGTGGGATGAGAAACTCTGGCGTTTAGCTTGTTTCTGTGGTTTCATGGCTTTCGAGCAGAGGTTAAGAGAAAAAGAGGAAACAATGGCAGAGTTAACTCACCAGGAACTCCATTTTTTCTTGACCCAACAGCTCAACCAGTGGCAAGTTTCCAGTTCAGTTTCACTTAAAACGGTTTGTTCTCCAGAGCACGAAAACGTCTAGTTTTGCTGCAAGTGTTTTATTATTTTTTTTCCCAAGACATCAAACTGTATCCTGCATTTTCTGTGCTTGTTGTGTATGACACAAGCACAGGTGAAAGTCAGCCCAATCAAGGCAGTGTGCTCTTTCCAGCATGGTGCATTTGCTGTTGCAGGACATTTGAGCTCCAAACAGAGAAAAGTTACAATACACATTGATTTTCAGCCAAAACCACTGGGAATTTCCCATTACCCTTAATGGTAACACTTTATTTGAAGGGGGGTGAATAAATTTGACATGACACATGTCGTGAACATGAATAAGCCTTCATGAATATTTATGACTGTTGTCATAAAGCGTCATTCGGTAAATTATGACACACTTAATACAAAGTTGACATTATTCAAAATGTCTTTGTTATGACAACTTGACATTAACCAAGAAATCATTACTGATATAAATTTGTTATAAAAGTATTACTGATTGCACTTTAAAAATGAGGTAACTTTATGTTATTAAAGGTAAAGTTTAAACAGTAATGATTTCCTTCGGTAAATTATGACAACAGTCATAAATATTCATGAAGGCTTATTCATGTTCATGACAGGAGTTATGTCATGTTTATGACAGTGTCATGACAGTCTTATTCACCCCCCTTCAAATAAAGTGTTACCCCCTTAACACCAGCCTCACAAATAAATCCTGAAATTTATAAAATAAAGAATTGCAGTTTTCCACAAAAAAAAAACAGCAAATTCTAGTCAGAGCAGAGATTGATCAGCAAATCTGCCCTACAAATACAAATTAAAAGAAAAATGACTGAAGTTTATGAAGGTGGTGATGATTAGGAACAGTTAATCATAAACAAGTTGTAATTTGGGGTTTCTTTTTTTATTACTTAAAGTAATTTATAAAGCAAAAACTGCAATTTCACTGTTTCAGATTTGATAAGTAAAACAGAATCTGACTTTTTTGTGAAACCAGCAGAAACATTATTTCGCCCATTTCCTCACTGCACAACAACTCCCATCAGCTTTCAAAAAATGTTTGTCGATTAGTTAGTATCAGAGAATATTTTGTCCTCTAGTACGCATAAATATATTCAGGTTTTGCTTTAAATTTGCTTGTATACCTCATTTAAATTTGAGCCAGTTGCATCAGCACAATCATTATCATTTAACCATCTAACTTAAAATACAAAAAGCAATTTTATGAAAGCCACAGCTTTCATTCGGGTGGTTAAAATGCAACTTGGAATACAAATGAGCTTCCTTCTCTCTCTCTAAAAATGTCGTTGAGGCTAAATTTCTGTTTTTAATATATTGGGCATATTATCCATTTTGCACACCCGCAAATGAAAAATTGTGCAAATGAAAAGGATGCAGATCCCTGTGGACATAATGAGCAGAAATGCCGGTAGAGGTCACGAGTGGAGGAACATAAACACTCACACTGCTAAAGACGTCTGCATGGATCGAAACACAGGCAGCTGAGCAGAATGCATAATCAACAGGCTGCTTGATATTTCCACAGCCATGATTTAATAACCTTTTATGGATGAAAGCAGCTTCCTCATGTAGGGAACACAGTAATTATGATACCGGCACTGAGGCGGTAAGGAGGGCGAATATAAGAGTTGAAAACAGTTTGTGTTTTGACTGAGAGAGATATTAACATCTGCAAATGGACATGCATGCAGACATAGATGTGACACATTTAATTTAAAGTTTAAGTAAAAGAAGAAGCCTTGTTTTTTAACGTTTGCACAGGTAAAGAGCATGAAAAAGGCTAGTAGATGTTTTTTGAAGCAGGTGTGATTGTTCATGTTTAATAACTAGAATGTAGCGCAGGAGCTATATTCCGATATTCTGCTGAAGTAGGAAAGCTGCAGTAGCTGTTAGGTAAAATAAACCCCATTCATCTCTGCTGTTACATTTGGGATAGGAGCAATTACAAAACAATGTACTAGATTGTCGCACAGGTACAGACAATTACAAAGGACGTGCAAGCTGATGTAGCGCTCAAACATTTGCAATTTAAATGCAAAAATCAGGATCCGATAGGTTCTTCAGGCACTGCACAATCAAAAAGACATGGCTTTTGAGAAAAACAAGTGTTTGTAGGATCCTTCTGTGGACCAAGTGTACTTTGCATATAAATCCCATTTGACAAAAAGAACAAGTATTTGGTTTGTATTTTAGAACAGTTTTGTGAAACAAGAGGTTGTTCCTCTGGACGGAGCAAAAACAATTCATACAAATACGACGTTTCCAACCATTAAGACTTAAATACAAGCAGAGCGATCTTAAACTGGGTCCCTAAATTATGAGGAAGGCCGTGAGAACAAGCCCCTGCCTTCATGTGTAAATGATGTGTGTGCGTTAAAATGTGCTGTACACACTATACGATGCAAAAGTTTGGATAGATCAATAAGGAGCTGGCCATGGAAATGTCAGCAGCCCCACAGCAGCTCCAAAGCACTCCATCACATGATTAATTACCAAAATGACAACAAAAACGATCACACATCCATTTTCCCACCGTATTCATGTCTGATACACAGCAATACTGATAAAATCAAGCCATATGAAAGACAAAGCAGCCAATGACTACACCATAATCATGTTGGTACCTCAAAAGAAACCATAATCTCCGTAGAAAAAATTATCTTGTTTCAATGAGATAAGAAGTTTTGTTTCCTCTGATAAAGAGATACTTTCTTATCTTAAGGAAACCGCAGATTATAGCAGGGCCGCCTTTATCAGTTTGCATACAAATCAGCTCTCAATTCATCATTTTGTGATCGTCATACATTTAATTCACCTAAAAAACAAAAATAGTCATGTTTGTAAAACATGAAAGAAAATGTACTTTTTTATTCAGTGTGGAAAATGCTGTCATTTTCTCGAAGATGTTCTTCATTTTCTCTGGAAAGTGGAACAATATCTGGCAGCAGTGGATGAATTTCAGTTCCTTCTGCTGATGCTGAGGAGGCAGTGAAGCTGAAAAACCATTATTCTGCTTTTATCACCCAAGTCTTCATTCAGCACAGCCTCGGTCGTCCTCTCTGAAAGCAGCCTCCGCTATCTGCTCATCTTTGACTAGATTTCAAATTGCAATGCCTATTCATCTTAGACCGGGGTGTAAATGGTATTCATGGTGCAGTTCTGGCGAAACGGAAGAAAATGGACTTCACCCAGAGGAAGACAATGAGAAAAAGAAACCGCTCGCTGTGCTAACGACGCCGATGAGAGGACTGGGACAATTCGGCTCCGTGCTTGAGTGGTCGTGTTTCTTCAAAATGTGTGTTTTAGAAGCAGCTTTTTGAATCCGAACGTCAAAACACATCCCGAATCGCAGTGTGACATGTGAGCTGTGTTTGCAGAGGAGGTGGTGCTCCTGGCGATTGAGGCCTCCATATGTTGAGCATTTGTTTACTCAGTCATTAGAGGGCTCTCCACTCTGCCAGACTGCACTGTTGTCTTAGGCGACGCACACAACGCTCTTTTCTTCTTTTCATCTCCAACCTCTCGGGCACAGCAGCCACAGGAGAGAGAGAGTGGGGAGAGTCCACAGGAAATTAGGAGTGTGACAAGATAAAACCCAGCATTCATCTGATATCGTTTCCAGGCAACTAGTAAGTACAGCAGAGTGACATTAAAAAAAAAAAAAAAAATCTTTTAAATGCAACGCAATGATATGGAGACCCGTCACACTTGACTTTAGCTCCAAGACAACTCAAGAATCCTGCGTTTACTTTGCCATAACTTGTATACGTAAGGTTATCTATCTGCCGAGTGGATGTTTCACCATCACTCTGCACAACGCTGCCGGGAAGATGCATCTATCGAACAATGTGCTTTTATGGGTTTCCACATCACCATGTCCTGATAAAGTGTTATTAAAGTAGCTGCATCAGCCAAGAGAGTCACAAAGAAACTCATAAAAACTCACCCTGTTGAACAAACGCTGCTCATTTCTAACTTATCGCAGGTAATGAAAGTGTCAAGCAAAAACAAAGGGAGATGAACAAAAGGAAAAACAAAAGCTTCTTAACATTTTACAGGGTTTTGGTAAAGCTGAGAACAACGCTGCAGTTCTGAGATATTATTACGTTTTCTCAGCAGTAATTTAAAGGATAAAATTAAGTGTTTCGATTAGTAAAGATGGAGTATGTAACTTTTATTTAAAAAAATGTTCTTATATATTTGTTAAAACTGCCACTATGTGGTGACAGTAAGAAAAAGATCAAACTCCTCCATTTTCTCCTACTGCTACTATTGCCAACTGAAGAATGCAACTGGTCAAAATCAACCAATCAGAGCTAGGAGGAGTGTCTTAACACTCCTGTCAATCATGCTCATGTACTCGCTGCTAAATGTGTTAATGGTGGAGAAATGACTTAGCATTTCAGGAAAACCACTTGTCCACCATCATTGCTATCAAGAAGAAGCTGCAGCACAACAGAGACCAAGGCAGGTTTACATCAGCAATGCTACAACACCTCCAGTATCTGAGCCTTCAATGTTTATACTTAAACAAGCTAAATAAATGTAAAACTTCAACTGCAAATGCAAACCAAAAACCCAGAACTAAACTCAATTTTTAGTCAATGAAAGAAAACTATTTTTAATTCCCCAGTTCTCATAGCAAACACTGCAAATCTCAAGGCAGATTTCATGCTGCCCTCATGATCTACAGATATAAACAAACGAGTCATTAAAAATGTGAGAGATTTTTCTGATGGACAGCAATAAAAGAAGATGAGTGTCCCTGCTGGTTAGAAAAAATATATATAACTTCAAGATAAAATAAGATAAGATCTCCTTCACCTGCTGATGTCGACGATTTCTACAAATTATCACATTTTTCTTCCGTTAAGTTCAAGTGAGAACAAGGAAGACCGATCAATAACTGTTTTGTTTAAAGAAATCTGACAGTAAAAGTGTGTGGTAATTCCTCAAGTGAGTAGTCAAAGTAAGATTTTCCAACAACAGTAGACTTGATAGTGCAGCAGCATACTGTCATCCTGTCCAATCTAAACTATCTCCACATGATGAAGCACCCTGATGTAACAATCCCTGCAAATGAAATCACACACAGAGCCAACCTGGAATGATCACTGTTGGCAAAAAGGGAAATTTATTTATTTATTTTTATGATTACCTTTCAACGCACTGTGGCTCAGAAATCCACCCCATCAAAAGGACTGTAAGCACATGTAATGTGCATGCACCCCATGGCTCTTCAGCACCATTCGCAGCCTGGATGTGACCTCAATTGCACACAAAGAGCAGCAGAAAATCGTGCTTCGATATTTGCTTTAACGTGTTGAACCAGACGGCGCTACTACTGCAAACAGAGGGTTGATCACTGTTAAAAACAACCAAAAACAAACTAGGACATACATTTGCAAAAATACTGAAATTCACCACAGCATGAATATGTTTGATGTTGCTTATATTTAAATGCAGGAAATCAATAAATTTGCCGTTTGAGTTTAAGAGCGCCATGTGTCCAAAATGAAGAGCTTGATGGTGTGATGACCAAACCTTTCCGGTGGTCGAATTGGAGGGCTCTGCACCCAACTGTGTGACTCATTTTAAAAAGAGGTTCTTTTAAATTCAGCTTCCTTCACTCTGCACAGACATGATCGTTGCCTAAACAAATCAGAGGTTTCTGGTAGCACTTTTGAGCAGTCTGAGATCATGCCCTGATGCTAAACCTGTCCTGACTCCATCTGATTGCCTGTAAACACTTTGGCCTTTTAATGCAGCAACATGACTTGTTGCATGAACCTGATCTTTTCAAGCACATTGATGCAAAGCTGAGGGCAAGCACTTTTCCAAATGTGGATCTGGGACACAGGGTGTGCACCATTACCCCGCTGTTCCCACCCACAGCCTCTGCAGTGATAGTAATGAGTCATTTCACCTATGATGGCAGCTGATGTTAAGGCTCTCTGACAGGCGGTGCTTTCTTGAATTTCATGTTTCATCTTGGGCTGTAGTTTGAAACAAAAAAAAAAAAGGTTAACAAATGAAAAACAGTACATCTGGATGCAGAAGGTGTGGGGTACTGCTCAGTTTACCAGCTATAAAAAATCATTTTAGACAGGATAGATTCCAGCAAGCCTGTTTACAATTTACTCTCATTTCAAAGACAATATTTGACTTCAATAGAAACAGATTCATGTGAACATGTGAAAATAACTCCTTAAAAATCTTTAAGGAGGAGGAAAGCATTTCTAAAAATGCAAGTATTTTCCGTGCTTTCACAGAGCTAAATATTTAGCAAAATACCTTTTTCAGTGAGGACAGAAGCAGAAAGAAGCATGAAAATATGGAGAGCCACTTCAGCCAGAGTTAAATAAATGAAGAAATAAGTAAGCATATAATTAATTGTCCTCTTTATTCATCTTCTTTCCAATAATTACCTTATTTGTTTATTTAATTTTGGCTGAAATGGCTCTCCGTATAGAACCACTTGATGGATAATATATGCTCATAGAAACCCACCAACATGAATCACAAAATGCAGATATCTAAGACTTTACAGCTTCTTAGTTGAACATTAAAAAGAAGCTACTGAGAAGTTCTTCAGTGTATGAAATGATTTTGAGTAAACTCATGTTTATAAACCTGCAAGCTGCTGAATAAGATTGGCTCTTTGTGCTTGCCGGATGTTTGTTAAGACAATCCCAGATGTAATTTTCACTCCAATGGAGCTCCTGTGGCCTCTAAAGAAACCCGGAGGCCACAGAAAGTAAACAGAAAACAGAATGTGTCTCAGCCTTTAATATGCCACTAGATTTTGCGGCAGCATAAGACGGAAAATTCGACCCAAAATCTCCTGCAGGCTGTGTTGAAAAAAAATATGCCAGGTGTCAATTCCAATCATGACAACATCAGCGAGCCAATGTGCAGAAAAGCAGCAAAACAAAATCGCTCTGACTGGTGATTTTTCTAGTTAGCTGGAGGATGTCTGCACCTGTTCACATAGACTCAATTAAACGGGCATTGTTGAAGCACAGCTTTACATTTTTATGTTGAATCGAAATGTATTCAAAAAGATAAATGATGTTTCACAATCTCTATAAAGCAATTTAAAGAAAAAAAGAAAACCTTCAAATGAGTTTTTATGTTCTGACCTTTTTACAGATTGCTTGAAAATGCTTCGGACAATTAAATTGATCAGCGATGAAATCCCCTCTCATTCGAGGGGAAGCACACTTTTGCAGTGCACTTAGAAAAAGGGCACGAGCCACTCAAAACGGATCAAATCCTGCTGGAGCTAAACAGACGCGCCGACCTTCAGCGCTCCTCCCTGAGAACCTGAAATCAAAAGTTACCAATAAGACCTGACAAACCAGAGCCGCAGTTTCAGAGGAACACTTCGATTTATCATCGAACATTTCCTGCCACCATGAAAGTGACAGGAGCACTTATGAAAAGCGTGACTGATAATTGCAGCCGTCTGAAACTCGGCAGCTTTTACATGCGATTGCAACCGATATCAGCTGTCGCCATTAGAGCGAAACAAGACTGGAGATGAAATGGGGGTGGGAGATAAACTCTCAGTGACAAACCAATTCGATGCAAATGAAAAAGCTTTTAAATTATATATGTATGATATAGATATGCAGCTGGCTGTCAGAGTAAATGTCTGGAAAATACAGTGTTTTACTTCCAGCCCAGCTTCAGTTTCCTGAAACCAAATGCATCTTGATCAGTATGGCGTCACGCTCACCGTTGGGCAGCATCGCATCATAAAAGCTGAACGTCACTCTGAACGTCTTCTCCACATGACGCCTCTTTGGCCATCTACACAATGTTTCCCCTCTCCTAACCAATCTATATGTGTTTAAACATTCAGCATCACTTTGGCGATGGAGCCCACCTGTGGGCTGCGGATTCCTGAAAATTCACAAAGACCTACGATTCAGTCAGACTGCCTTTTAAAGAAATTATATTGATTTTATTGATCATCTTCAATAACCTAAAGTGTTTAGGTACCTTTACTTTGTACTCTCTCTATCTGACAAAGCAAATCTAGTCATTATTTTCTAATACATTCAAATGATCTAAATGTTACACCGTCTCTTACATCCATTCTTCTTTTTCCCTGCTTGGTGTCTAAGAGTTTAGTCATAACATTTTCACAATATTTAAGCTTCACAGATTTAAAAAAAATTGCAAAAGATAAAAAAAAAACAACAAAGAAATGTGTGTTTTTTTAATAAAAAATGTCGAAATGCAGAGAAAAATGTTGAAATTTAGAGAGAAAAAATGTCAGATTTGTTTCTTCAGAAACCCTCGTCCTCTTCTGTACTTCTTAGATGTCTGATGTAAAAAAAAAAAATTATTATTTAACAAAGAGTGTCATTATCACCTGATTTCCTCTCCTGGCAAATTATGTACAATTTGTGATTCTGCTTGTGCTTCACAGGAACATGCCCACCTGTTAATGTTATGTTTTTCGAAGTGATTATACAAGGCCGTGATTCTGACTCACAGCATCATCACGTCAACATCCCCCACTTCTATTAGAGTTCAAGAAGGAAATTGCAGGAAACATCGGGTACTTATCGAGGCGACTGTTGGGCACGCAGTGTTCACAGAGGATAAGTCAGATGTGAAAAACCCACTCTGGAGTTAAGCATATGCAAACAACTGCTTCTGAAGAGCCAAATATTCCAAAACTCAAAAAAAAAATTAAAAAAAAAAAAGTCAGCCCAGAACACAGACGAGAGAAAACACCTGTTCTGTTCGCCAGCATGTCAGCTGTTAAAAATAAAAGTCAGGATTGGATCAAACCGTCCACAAAGCACCAAAAGTCAACAGCTCACACTGCAATGTGAGAATCACTAAAGCAATCTCAAAAGGGGAAAAAACTCAAGTACATCTGCTGGTTTTTATATTAACACTACTAAAAAAAAACACTACCTGAAAGTAATGAATAAAATAATTCCCGATTACCATTTGAACAATATTCAAACATGAAAAACACACATCTTTGCTCAAAAATTAACACCGTGAAGCTGAAATCAAACATACAGATGTTCTTAATAGAATAAAACTGATCTTATTTTGAAAAACATGTCTGTTGGGACGAGTCAATGTGAAGCTTTCAAGCATAAAAATCACACAGAAAACGCAGAATAAGAACAACTTCCAATTTTTAATCATAAATCAACAAATGGATGGATAAAACTGATCCTAAACGCACAATAAAACCAGTTGTTGGATGGAAAGTCAGATTAAAATTAACTTTTAGAAATCGCTTTCCCAAAACCAAGTCTTATTATATTTGGAGACAGAAAAATATGCAAAAGTTTTCTTATCTGAGGGTGAGTTAAGTATACGGCGCTCATTTTGTAAATATTTGCTTGGACATGTTAAACCAAATATTAGTGGCATTAAACCAATTTATTTCACATAACATTTTCAGCCTTTGTGAAGTAGAGAAATTAGAAAAATAGATACGCACAATTCCAGCTGTTTGTTAAAATAAGCAGATAGAAATATTTAACCCTGAAAACGTTAAATGTCAAAAATAAGATGACATTCCTGTCTATGATGTATATAAATTTGCTTACTTCAAAGTACAACTATAACATCCTCCTTTAAAGATCATCATATCAATATTCCCTCCATCTTTTACTGACGTTAGATTTAGGAGGTAGCGTTTCTCTTTCCAGTTTGTTGTTTCGAAGTAGAATGTGCGCACGTCCAGTTCCAACCGCTCTTACGAATCTTGCCATTCCCTCCGGAAGTCACGCGTTTTGTGCTTTTACGACCCTTGACCTCAACATTAGTATGCGACAGTCCGCACATTCGGCACAGCCAGGGGCAGTCAGACAGGCTCGCAAAAAGACAGGCTGTCAACTCTGATCAGCCGTTGTTCGTCTGTGATTCAACAGCTGGATGCAGAACCACGGGGGCTGAGAGGAGAGGAAGGTGAAAAAAGGGCAAGCTGGATGTTGGGTAACATGCTGGGTTTGAACCTCTTTCAGCCTTTTCATCCACAGCTCTGCGTTTGCCTCCCACTGGCCCTGAAGTCACAGAGGATGGCAAAGAGACAGGAAGTCACCAGCAAGACGGTTAACGGGTTAAGAAGTGAAGCTCAGTCACCTCCCCGTGGGACCCTGACGACTTTGACGAACCGCAGCGCTGCTCGTTTGCAGCCTGATTCAGCTCCGTTCTCGTCATCGCTACACCTTCTGACTGTGCTGCAGCCTTTGTATCTTGGTTTGTGATTTTTCTAGTCCAACTCTTTTATTCAAGGTTTGATTTGAACATCTGGGTTCCTCTGACTCATCCTGTAAACATCTAGACTGAAGGCAAAAGTACATCAGGGCTAAATTAACAATTTAGATAAACTATACTTGAAAAAAATCGCAAATTCTGACAAGTTGGACATTTAAGCCGAGTCTAACAGCTGAATCTACAGCAACTTCACATAACTGCAAGAGTGGAAATTCATTGGAATCATTCTTAATGGTATTTAATAACAAATATACTCAATTCAGCTAAAAAGCACAGAAACAAATGTTACAAGTCAATTACATTTCTACATCAAATTCAAACAAGCCAACCAGGCAGTCAAACTGGGGTTCAAATATTTAATCCAAATTATAATACAGTCCAATTGATTTAATCTCCGTATACTTTGTGATGTAGAGAAAATTAGTGAGCAATCAGACAAAATAACACACCAAATGTGTCACAGGCTGTCAATGTTTTAGGTAAAATGAAAAAAAAGTTTGAAAAAGTAATGATATTATAATAAAAATAACATTTTTCCCACTGTTGGTTCCACGAGACCATCAAAAATGTAAACATATATAGAATATGATTAAGCCGTTTTTGTTTCAGTAACACCATTGCATTACTTAATTTCAACAAAACAAGCCTTTTATAGCTAGGATTCTTTTATTTTATAAAAATAAAGCTAATTTAAAAAAAAAAAGGTTTAACTTATAGTCTTGCAATTTAACCCTTT